AAATATTTACAAACTTATAAACCCAGCAGGAAATTTTTAAAAATCAAATTTAAAAACTGAGTAAACAAAATAGAGATGCAGGGCCAGGCGATGTGCTGTACCTGCATCATTTGGGAGCTGGTGCAAAATAGCAAATGTTGGTTGTTAGAGGAACTCCAGGTCAGATTTGATGAGCTGGAGTCTGAGCTTCAAACACTGTGACGCATCAGGGAGGGGTAGAGTTACTTGCACAGTGTCTTTCAGGAGGCAATTGCAGCTTTTCGATGAACCACCTCGAATTCAGTCAGTGGTCAGGGACAGGAGGGTGTAACTACGATTGAGGCAAGCAGAAGGATGCAGAAGGTAGTGTCAAAGGAGCCTCAGCCCTCAATCTAGTCAAACAGGTTTGAGATTCTTCCTCCCTGTGTGGATAAGAATGCAGGCTGTAGGGAGAATGAGTAAATTGACCATTGCACTGTGATACAGGGAGCCGTTTAAGGTGGACAAAAAAAAACGTAGTTGTAATTGGAGATAGTATACTCAGGGGAAGAGACACTGCTCCCTGTGGCCAGGATTGAGGGTCCCAAAATCTGCCTGGTACATGGGTTCAGGATACGTCATCTGGGCTGCAGAGGAACTTAGAGTTGGAGCGGAAAGATCCAGTTGATGTTGTTGTAGAAAAAAATACAGGTGGAAAGAGGTTCTACTCAGGGAATATGAGCAGTTAGCTAAATTAAAAAGCAGAACCAAAAAGGTAATAATCCCTGGATTACTACCTGAGTCACGAACAAACTGGCGCAGGGTCAATGAGATTAAAGAGGCAATCGTGTGGCTCAAAGATTGGTGTGGGAGAAATAGGTTCGAATTCATGGGACATTACACCAGTACTGGGTAAGGAAGGTGGTGTTCTGAAGAGACAGGCACCACCTGAATCATGCTAGGACTAGAGTCCTGGCTAACCACAAAACTAGGGCTGTGGACAGGGCTTTAAAATAAATGATGGGGGATAGGTACAATTGCATGGAAAATTATTGAAAATGTTAGGGCAGTGTGGGGTGGCAGGGAGGATTCAGCAGAGGTTATTGAGATTTCCAAAACAAGTAATAGGACAGAGAGCATGGAAAGGCTCAGGAATCTAACTTCAGGCACATCAGATAGGGGACAACTATGAGAAGGGGAGTAATCAATGCAGAACTGAGGGGTTGTGCTTAAATGCACAAAACAAGGCAAATGAGCTTGTACGACAGATTGAAATTGGCAAGTACGATGTTGCGGGTATCATAGAGACATGGCTGCAAGGGGATCAGGGCTGGGAACCAAATCTCTAAGGATACACATTCTATCAAACAAGCAGATGGGCAGAGGGAACAAGGCTGCCTTGTTAGTAAGAAATGAAATGAAATTGACAGCAAGAAGTTACAGAGTTGGAAGGCGTACAATCTATGCAAGCAGAGTTGAGAAATTGCAAACGAAAGAAGGCCCTGATGGGAGTGTGTACAGCTCTCCTAGCAGTAGTCAGGATGTGGGGTAGAAAAGAAGTCAGGAGGTAGAAAAAGTACATACGAAAAACACTGTTAGAACAATCATAGGGTACTTCAATATGCAGGTGGACTGGGAAAATCAGGTTGGTCACAGATCCTTAGAAAAGGAATTTGTGGAATGTCTACGAGACTTTTTTGGAGCAGCTTGTGGTACAGCCCACTCGGGAACAGGCAAGTTGGATTTGGTGATGTGTGATGAGGCTTAATTAGGGAGTTTAAGGTGAAGGAACCCCTAGGAGGCAGTGACCATAATGTGATAGAATTCACCGTTCAGTTTGAGAGGGAGCAGTTGGAATCAGATGTAACAGATATAATTGAATAAAAGTAACTACAAAGACATGAAGGATGAGCTGGCCAGAGTTGATTGCAAGGGGAACCGAGCAGGGCAGATGGTGGAGCAGCAATGGCAGGAGTTTCTGGGGGTGATTCAGGATATACAGCAGAAATTCACCCCAAGGAAGAAGAAACATACTAAGGAGAGGATTAGGCAACCATGGCTGACAATGGACAGCATAAAAGCAAAAGAAAAAGTATACCATGTGGTGAAGATTAATGGGAAGCCAGAAGATTAGAAAGTCTTTAAAAGCCAGCAGAGGATAATCAGAAAAATAATAAAGGGGGGAAAGATGAAATATTAGGGTACACTAGAAGGTAACATAAAAGAAGATTGCAAGAGTTTTATTTAAATATATAAAAGGTAAGAGACACAACTGTGGACATTGGGTTGCTGGAAAATGAGGCTGGGTGGTATTAGTAATGAGGAACAAAGAAATGGTGAAGGAACTGAAAAGGTACTTTGCAACAGTCTTCATGATGGAAAACACCACCAGCAGAGCAGCGGTCAGTATAGTGGACATCACTGAGGAAGTAGTGTTGGAGAAGGTGAAACTTCTACAAATTTAGCAGTAATGCTCTCAGTCGCTTTGTACAGATCGTTTATGTATAACACGACTAATTGTGGTCCCAACACGGACACCTGTGGAAGGTGGATACATTACCTGTCCCAGATGGATTACACCCCAGAGTTCTGAAGGAGATCGCTCAGGAGATTGTGAAGGCATTGGTGGTGATCTTTCAGGAATCACTGGAGTCAGGGAGGGTCCCAGAGGACTGGAAAATGGCTAATGTAACACCACTGTTTAAGAGGGGAGGGAGGCAGAAGACAGGAAACTACAGACCAGTTAGCTTGATCTTGGTTGTTGGTTAAGATTTCAGAATCCACTATTAAGGATGAGATTGCAGAGTACTTGGAAGTGCATGATAAAATAGGGCTGAGTCAGCACAGCTTTGTTAAGGGGAGGTCGTGCCTGACAAATCTGTTAGAAGTTTAGAGGAGGTAACTAACAAATTAGACAAAGGTGAGCCAGTGGACGTGATCTATCTGCATTTCAAGGATGCCTCTGACAAAGCACACATGAGGCTGCTAAATATGATAAGAGCCCATGGTATTAGGGGCAAGGTACTGGCATGGACAGAGAATTGGCTGAGGAGCAGAAAGCATAAAGGGATAAAGACCTCCTTCACAGGATGGCAGCTGGTGACTAGTGGAGTTCTGCAGGTGCCTGTGTTGGGACCACAACTATTCATGTTATATATTAATGATCTGAACGAAGCTACTAAGGGCATTGCTGCTAAGTTTGCAGAAGATACAAAGTTAGGTGAAGGGGCAGGTATTGTTGAGGATGCAGGGCGGATGCAGAGGACTTGGACAGGATAGGAGAATGGGCAAAGAAGCGGCAGATGGAAACAATGTCGGCCAGTGTGAGGTTATGAACTTTGGTAGGAGGAATAGAGGTGTAGACTATTTCCTGCATAGGGAAAAGCTTCGGAAATCTGAAGCACAAAGGGACTTGGGAGTTATAGTTCAGGATTCTCTTAAGGGTAAAATGCAGGTTCAGCTGGCAATTAGGAAGGCAAATACAATGTTAGCATTCATTTCAAGAGAGCTTGAGTATTACAGCAGAGATGTACCGCTGAGGCTGTATAAGAATCTGGCCAGATCAAATCTGTAATATTGTGACCAGTTTTGAGTTCCTGTATCCAAGAAAGGATGTGCAGGCCTTGGAGGGGGTCCAGAGCAGGTTTACAAGAATAATCCCGGGATTACGGGCTTGTCATTCAAGGAGCAGTTCAGGACTCTGTGTCTGTACTTGATTGAGTTTAGAAAGATAAGGCAGGGGGATCTGATTGAAACTTACAGAATACTGAGACATCTTGATAGAGTGGACATGGAGAAGATATTTCCACTGGTAGGAGAGACTAGCATCCGAGAGCACAGCCTCAGAGTGAAGGGATGACACTTTAGACTGAAATAAGGTTAAATTTCTTCAGTCATGTGGTGGTTAATCTGTGGAACTCACTGCCGTTGAAGGCTGTTGAGCATATATGACGGAGATAGAAAGGTTCTTGATTAGTAAAGGGATCAAGGGTAATGGGGAAAAAGGCAGAAGATTGGGATTGATTAGTCATAATCAAATGGCAGAACAAACTTGATGGGCCAAGGGGCCTAATTCTGCTCCCACATCTTATGGAACCTCAGTTATGACTTGAATCAGTGTAGTTGGTGCATTCTTTAACGGTCAACATTAAAGCCTTAATACGTCGGAGCAGAATTAGGCTTTTCAATCCATCACGTCTACCCTACCATTCATCTGGTAATCCTGAACTCCACTGTCCTGCCTTTTCCCTATAACCTTCAACTCCCTGATTAAAAATCTTTCTCAGCCTAGTATATACTTGATGACACAGTCTTGACAGCTCTCCTCGCTAAAGAATTACTCAGATTCCCCACCCTCAGGGAAGAAATTTCCTCATTATCTCTGTTCTAACTAGACTCTACTTCCTTACTCTGAGATTATGCCCTCCTTTTCTAGACTGTCCCTCAGAGGAAAACAAGATCTCCGCATCTTCTCTGTAAAGTCTCCAAGAATCTTGTATGTTTTAATAAGGTTGCCTGTTATTTTCCTAAACACCAGTGAGTACAGGCCAAACCAACTCAACCTCTCCTCATAAGAAAATCCCTCTATACCTGGGATCAACCCAGTGAACCTTCTCTGGACTCCCGCACTGATAGTATATCTTTCCTTAGGTGAGGGTACCAAAATTGTACACGGTATTCCAGGTGCGTTCTAACTGATATCTTGTACAATTTTACCACTACTTTCCTATTTTTATACTTCATTCCCTTTGAACATTCCATTTGCCTTCCCTATCACCTGGACTTGAATGCTTGATTTTGGTCATTTATGCACCTGAACTCTTAATTTTTTTTATGGATGTGAGTTTTGTTTACATAGATTTATCTTGAAAAGGCAACACCACCAATACTTCTTTGTCAGTTGAAATATTCTAATTGTTGAACGTTTATCTCCCCATTCATACATTTCACCTGTGAAGCTTTCAAATGCTTTTGTTGTATCCTAAAACCATGGAGAATGTTGAATTCACAATGGTTCTATAGGCAATCCTACATTCACTTACCATAGCTCTGTTTGTCTCTCCTGTCCAGTGATCGACTGGAACTGCTCCATGTTCTTTAGCTCCTTTAAAAAGATCATCCACAATTTCATTTAGATTCTTTTTCTTTGGCGGTCCAACTATCTGCTGGCCACTGTGTTCGGAACCACCTGCATAAAAGCTTAAAAAATTAATATGCAGTGAGTGAAACCAGTGCTTTCCCTTATAAAGGAAACAAGGTACACTAACATGTGAGCATTATAATCGTCAGCGCATTCACTTTTGCTCTCTAAGCAGTGAGGAAGTGCACATCTTGTTGACATACACATTCATTGCAGGGTATTCCTTCCATGAAACAATAAATCAGGGAAGAAAATAGATGTTTCATTGCTTGTATGCTCAACTCAGTTACTGACCAGTTACTGTACCCACCAAGGTATCACAAATAGCAAAAAAAAGACTAGATAATAAGATTTGAGCAGTTTTGGTTGAGGGAGGAAGGATGTTGGGAGAAGATCCTTTCTTCCTTGAACACTTCTTCATGAGCTCTTTCTCAGCAACCTAATGATAAATTTTTCTTCCAGACAAGGAAGGTTCTGTACAGATGGTATAGGCACACAATTGATTCTGTTTTCGTAGCCCATAGTGCTAAAGATGTAAGAAATAGGAGCAGGACATTCAGCCCCTCAAGCCTCCCATTCTATGAGATTATGGCTAATCTGCCAAAGGTGTCAATTTCTCATCTGTGAATTCAACCATGGATTCTGAAACTTTGGTTTAAGGGTAAGTAAGTGATAGCTGCTCATATACAGTTGCTGCTGCTATACTGTGTAACGCATCATGGTTTAAGGGTAAATTGGAACTCTGATAGGTTGCAACCAGTAATAACAGTGGCTCAAACCTTGTTTGTTGCGAAACTATGAATATAGGTATTTTGCCACTGATTCATAGAGATAGGTTATGGTTTTGCTATGTATGGCATTTTCTCAACATTGCTATCTGCTGAAATTTAAGACATGACATGAACAATTTGATTTTAATTTTGTTTTGTTTATGAAACATTTCCCATTCATAGAGCAGCCCTTTGCAAGGAAAAGTATTAATATAGATTCAGTTAGAATTGTTAGTTCTATTCCTTAGATCTCTAGAGATCAGCCCCACAAACCATCTTGGTATGATTCTGAATATCCAACAGTTGATTAACTTTATGGAAAATGAAGCATGATCTCTACTTAACGATTAATTCAGACTGCGCAGAGACTATTCCCCACTTGACAGTCAAGGTTATCTTGGTGCTGTTATCAAGTGGAGCTGCTTCCAGTCTACTACAAATTTGTAAAGTCCTTACCGTTGACCTTCATCAGCTGAACTGTTACTTTGTTCATCCTTCTTCAGGTCTTTCAAGGATGATATCCTGGAAGTACCAGAGCTAGATGAGAGGGAAAAAATATTGCTTGAATTATTAGAAAGAAACATTTAAACAATCAATAGTGCAAATTTCCAACCTCTACTTAAGACTAATACTCACTAATTCGAGTGCAACCTAAATGTTATATTTGCTATAATGAAATGAAGAGTTAATAGTGTTCATAAAACTGACTTGTGCAACCTCAAATCCTTTTACCCATGGCAACCATGCTGTCTACCACCTAGTTGCTCAAAATACCACTGTCTACCCACCTCTTTCTCTTGTCCCTCTACAATTAACCTTAAAATCCACCTTAACACAACCTCTAAGTCACTCCACCATTCATTTACTCCTTTGATTCAGTGTCAATTTTTACCTGATTACATATTCACAACATACCTCAGAATTTTTCTCCAAATAAAAGCTGCTATACATGACATTATTGATAACTTCCTAAAATTATACAATGTATCATTTGTAACATATTGATATGATTGATACACACAAGCCCCAGTGAATAGCTTTAATTGATGGTGTTATAGTGGTACTGGGAGGTGATGGCTTAGCGGTATCACCAGACTATTAATCCAGAAACTCAGCTAATGTTTTTCGGGCCCCGGTTCAAATTTGAAATCAATTAAAAATAAATCTGCTATTGACCATGAAACCATAACCCATCTGGCTTATGTCCTTCAGGGAAGGAAATCTGCCATCCTCACCTGTTTTATATGTGACTCCAGATCCACAGCAATGTACTTGATTCTTAACTGCTTGCTGAAATGGCTTAGTAAGCCACTCAATTCAAGGGCAGCCAGAGATGGGCAATAAATGCTGTCTGGCCAGCAATGCCTACGTCCCACAAGTGAATTAAAAAAGGCTCAGATTAATACTCTGGGGATATGGGTATAAATTTGGAGGAATTTAAATTCAATTAATAAATCTGGAAGTGAAAATTAATGTCAGTGATGGAAAACATGACAATTATCATCAATTCTCATTAAAAAAGTAATCAAGTTCACTAATATCCTTTAGGGAAGGAAGTCTGCCATCCGTACATGCTCTGCCTATATGCAGTTACAGACTTACAGCAATGTGTTTAACTCTTAATTGTCATCTGAAACAGCCTAGCAAACCACTCAGATCAAGGGCAATTAGGGATGGGCAACAAACTCCAGCCTTGACAGCAAAACTCACATCCCACTAAGAATTTTTAAAAAAAAAGCAACGATCTCGGTTATTAGCATCTTTTCCGTTCAATATTTTAAAATGTCTACTCTCTCTATTTGAGCACAACGACCACACAAAGAGACAAGAAAGGCAGTTGACAAGGACCGTAAATTGCAATCATGGAGAAAATGTGCAAGGGCAAATATCCATAATTGGGCTGTCAAAACAAACACTTAAAATAATAAATATACAAACTATGGTTAAATAGTATCTGAAAGTTGGGAATTAAGCAGTAAGCAAAGTGCACCAAATACAAAAATCCCATAGTTGGGAAGGTGAACTGATAACTTGTAAATGGCATTTTATTTAGACAAATGCATGCAAATATATGGAGTGATCCAAAGAAAATTAACCTGTGATACACGATACAACAAATGAGATGGTTTCTGGGGTATTACTTGACAGCAATGACATCAACAGAAGAGGCAGCAAAATGGAAAGCTAAATTGGCCTTTGGACGTACAGTGAGAGGAAAACAGCAGAAATCCCTGAAGAGTTGAATCAATCCGGACAAGTAACTGATAAACTACACATGGAATTCTGCGGTAAATTCTGACAACAAAGGTAAGAATGTAGAAAATAGCAACCAAATTGATAACCTGTTAAGATGCTCATGTCAAGGATATGAAAAGCGTCAAAAGCACTGGCCACATACAGCTAAAATTTGAATAAAGTGGTCACTTGAAGAATTTGAGAATATAAAACCTACTTAATTTTTCTGAGGGGAAGAAATCATCAATCACCATTCTTAAGAGTTCTGGACGACAGCCAACCCGTTCCATTAGCTTTCAGCCTCATTGTTCATTCCTATACATATGCAATTCAAAACCTCAGCTGTTTAGAAACTACTTTAATGACACAACTTGAAAATGACGCTGAGGTTATATCTATCATAAATGAAAAATGTTACTGAAACCATCAGGTCACCTTAAGTTTAGGATGGTGGCACTCCTATTCCATTTTGAGCTACTGAATCAAGCAATAAGATATGGGCTAAACGTCTCCAAAAGTGATAGAATTAAACAGCTGAGGAAGACTTTTTTTAAACAGAGCCAAAAAGTGGCTTAAAGTTTTGGAAGCATGTTTGGTAGTGAATTATCTATAACCAGACTGATACCAAATTGGTGGTTGGGCCAGAACTTACATCTAAGCACCATTCAAATCTGATGGTTTCTTTTTCAGAATAACAAAGTGCTGTTTGGCTTGGAATTGTAAATGTAAAAACAGACTGTTCTGATGAACTTAGAAAACTCAAACTAAAAGGGGACCGCAAAGGCTCTTAACTAAAATTTATAACACTCAAGTTAGAAACAGAAAAGGTAATGTTCAAAGTACTTCTGATATTCCTTACCTGCGAACTGCAGGTTTGCAATTAGTAGTATTATTAAACATTGGTGATTCATGATGAATAAGTCGATCGTCACCCTCGTTCTCATAGAATTTAGCCAGTGCAAGCTACATAAGAAAATGGAGATAAAAATTATTATTCAGAAATGCTTTTCAATATTTGTCAGCAGGTTTCGCTGAAATCAGTAGATAGGTTGTTGACTTGCTCGTCGAGCTGGCTTGTTCTTGTTCAGACATTTTGTCACCATGCTAGGTGACATCATCAGTGGAACCTCCGATGAAGCGATGTTATTCTATTCCGCTTGGAATTTATACTGTCTGGTCCGTTGTGGTGAGTAGTGTCGTTTCTGGTTTTGATCTGTAAGAGTTTGTATATACCATATACAAATACTGCATGATGAACTTTCCTTAATATCAGTACACTCAGACAATGAAAGCCATCAATTTAACTGGGACAAGGTAACCATAGGAGCCCAAGCCAAAGACAGACACGCACGGGAATTTCTAGAGGCACGGCTCTCCACCTATACGTCAATCGACAAACATACAGAATTGGGGCCCTTATACAAACCCGTACAAATCGAAACTGGAAATGACACTACTCACCATAATGGACCAGACAATATAAATTCCAAGCGCAGTAGAATAACATATCTTCATCGGAGGCTCCACTGATGATGTCACCTAGCACAGTGACAAAACGTCTGAACAAAAACGAGCCAGCTTAGTGAGCAAGTCAACAACCTCAAACAGTTACAGATTGAGGAAAACCATTTTGGATGACTGATAATTTTTTTTAAGAAGTCTATGTTAAAGTTGATGAAAAAGGCATGTTACTGAAAGTGCTAAAGGTAAAAATTATAGTAAATCCTTCAGTTAAAGCCAATTTGAAATACACAGAACAGTAAACTTTGTGAATCTTTCTGCCTTTGCTTCTGATTTTAATATCATAAATTCTATCACTTAGTTGATATCAATGATTTTCAATGTGGACAGATCCTATACAGCAGGCTTCCCAAAGTCTGGGTTACAACCACTAGCACGATTGTGGGAAGAGATTTTGGCGCTGCAAGCTCTCAGTCAGCACTGGAAATCCTGAAGTTTATCCAAGGGGTGCTAAGATTTAGAAGGCTTCTTTAAAAATTAACTCCTGCTGCAAATAAAGGGACCCTCCACCCAGACCCAGCTCAACTGCTCTCTCATCCCCACAAATGTTCACTCCAAGGATCATACAAAATCTACAGCATTTTAAATAGGTCACACAAGGAAATGGTCTAGAAAGCACTGCACTAGAAATAATAGAAAAGAGAAGTGGAAAACAAGGAGATAAACGATTATCAATGACAAACTGCTATACTCTTCAACACTGCAGTTTTGTAAAAGTATTGGCAGAAGCTTTACGTTAGGTCACATACATGAATGTTTAACCGGGGAACCTTCACAGATTTATTTTAAACATAAGATCAAATACTGTATAACACTACATCAAGCAAAACAACAGCAGGTTTAAAAATATGCCATGTTCATGTCACCTTACTTTCAATCTATAATCAACTCCTACATTTCTTCTAAATGTGTCAGATGCAATCACAGAAAGTTTAAGGTAAAACAAAAATTGAAGCATTGAGGAAATCACATCTAAGGATGCACAGATACCAATCAAACAATATCTAATGTTATGCGTATATTGTCTTACATCTCCCAAATACTTTAACATGCTTGATATGTGAAGAATTAACTTCAATTGCAGCAAATAGTTGTTGCATAAAATGTCAAGGCAGTCTGCCTTGACATTTTAAATTCATATTCAAAAAATAAGCAAACAGTGAAATAACAAACCAAGTGCAAAAACATCTTCAGTCAACTCTTCCACAATGATTATTAAATTGGACGTGTTTCTTTCTTCCTTCTGATCCTCCAACGTATTTATGAGAACAATGCCTTTGAAGAAGTTTCCTGATTTCTCATTTTGCCATTGAAACATTTCTCATGGAGCCATAAAGGTAGATGAAAGAAAACTTTACAACACAGATGGTGAAATGCCTCTTTATTATATAGAACATAGAAATTTAATGTAGAAATTGATTTTCACAGCTTCACAACAAACTTTTGCAAAGTTGTGTTTTCAGAAGCCATTTAAAAGTTGAAAGTAAGGTACAAGGGGCAAAGGGTTTGGGCGAGATTTCCACAGACTCGGACAGAGGCAACTGAAAGGTTTGCTACTAAATGCTGAAGACAGCAGGGGAAGCACAGGACTCCAGAGAACACAACAAGTGCCAGAAAGTAAGAGAAAACTGTATAGTTGAAAATTACGACTATAAATTCAGTCCTCTGCAGATAGGTAGCTGATGCGAGACTAAAACGACAGGCAAATGAGACATGGCAAGGTAAATAATGCAGGTGGTAGAATTTTGGACAATTTGAAATTTATGGACATTTGTGGACCAGGAGTTCATGAAGAATTCTCCCTTTTGTGCGTTATAGTAGCAGTACCACTAACTTTGGAATGGAGACAAATAACTTGGCAGAGATGGAAAAGCAACAATGCTAATCTATAGCATATGGAGTTTGAAACTCACGTCTAGGTCTAACAGAATGCTGAAATTGCTAGCTTTACAATTCAATGTGAGTGGAAAGCAAAGTAGAAAATACAATGAACAGGAAAGATGCAGAAATTTCAGTTGCGATCAAAAATTATAATTCATCTCCCTGATGTTCATTTGAAAAAATTCTGATTCATCTATAACAATGTCAGATAGAAAACTGTCACAAATATACAGATGAACGTACATCCAAAGGAAGTCGGAAAGAAAGTAGAGTTGTATGTACACATATAGAAGTTACACTTCATGACTGCAAGTCTCTGGGCTCAAACATAAAAACGCTGGGGCAGGAATAGGCTGTATGGACCCTCAGGTATGCTGCGTCATTCAGTAATAAAATAGCTGATCTGATCTTGACCTCAAATTCACTTTCCTATCTGCTCCACAAAATCCTAATTCCACTACATTTCAAAAATCCGTCTAATTTAGCTCAGTATTTCAATGATTCAGCCTCCACAGCTCTCTGAGAGAATTTCAAAACTTCAAGACCCTCAACAGCGAGATCTTTTATTTCTGCCTTAAACGGGTGAGTTCATATCCTGAATTATGCCCCCTAGACTGCTTTCCCATGGTCAGCGCGGAGACGCAGTCCCGGAGCAGTGGCAGGTGCAAGAAACAAGTGCCGTGTGGAGGCCAATGCGGTGAGGCATCCCTGGAGCTTACCTTGGAGCAACTGTGAGCCGGTAAGGAGAGGACTGAAGGCTTGGAGCACAGCAGGGACAGTTGTTGGACTGGGTTCTTGTGGGGCGGTCAAACCATGTGGGGAAGCCCCTGTGCTGAGCTGCTACAATGTAATGCTTACTTGAAGCTTTTTATCTGACTGTAATGTCAATCCTTTAACAATGGCTTATTCAGCATTTGAGTGAAGATTTGTGGCTCAGGTGCTGGTTGTAGATGTTAGTGCGTTCGCCAAGCTGGGAGGTTTGATAGCAGACGTTCGTCCCCTTACTAGGTGACATCCTCAGTGCTGTGGAGGCTTCTGTGAAGCGCTGTTGTCTTGTGCCCGTTCGAATTTATATGGTCTGGTTTTTGCTGCTGCCGGTAGGTGCCGATTCCGGTTGTGTGTTGTAATGGTCGGTATATCGGGTCTAATTTAATGTGTTTGTTGATGGAGTCCACGGATGAATGCCAAACCTCCAAGAATTCCCTGGCTGTCCTCTATTTAGCTTGTCCAATGATAGCAGTGTTGTCCCAGTTGAAAGTGTAGTTGTTCTCATCTGTGTGTATTGAAACCAAGGACATCCAGTCGTGTCGTTTAGTTGCTAGCTGGTGTTCGTAATTACTTGCTGTGTTTGAATGCTAACATTTTGTGTTTCATCTATAAGGATACTCAAACCTTGGCATTGTATCAATTTGAATGCAATATCACAGAAGATCAAAGGCCCAGTTTTAAATCCGCATATGCAAGTGGTCTTGAAGCGAATTAATTAACCCCAAGTTAAAATACAGTTTAAGTTGTTCCAAGGTTCTGCATTTAACATTTTTACTCAAAATGTAAGGATTAATTTTTCTGAAAAATAAACTTAAACATATACTTCCTGCATTGCACTAAGAATCAGGCTGGACAGTAAATTCTAAGATTACTAAAGCTCGTTACAGAGTGTCGAGTACACAAATAAGCGTGCCAGAACTCTACACAAAAGTAAAATGTTGAAGATGCTACATGTCTGCAATAAAACCAGAAAGTCAGGAAGTGCTGGAAACGATCAGGTCCGCCAAATTTTTAAAAGGTCAACTTGAAATGTTGACTCTGTTTCTCTCTACATCGATGCTGCCTGACTTCCAGCATTTTTTTTTGTATCAGGATTAATCGCTGTCATTGTACTGACCAAAACACAGTAAACGATCAAAACGGTGAAAAATAAATGCTTCTGAAGAAGGGTCTAGGCCCGAAACGTCAGCCTTCCTGCTCGGCCTGCTGTGTTCATCCAGCTCTACACCTTGTTATCAAAGAATAAATGCTGCCTGTTCAAAGACAGCAGCTCCTGGTCACAGTAGAATGGGGACATGTGGGATTCAGCTAATACTGGGTGGGGGTGAAGAAAGTGCTGGGGAGAGGGTGTGTGTGTGT